GTTGTTGAGAATGAATATTTGGTTCCGAAATATTTTTTTGCCACAAGCATTAAATCAACCAGAGCAAGAAATGAGATTTCATCGTCAGACAAGTCACACTGGTTTTGAACCAATGGAAGTCCTTCAAAATACTCAACATTCACTAATGCAAGCCAAGACATAACTAAGAAAGTGGAACGATCATCCTGTCGTCTCCCATCAAACCAGCTTGTCTTCCCAGCCCAAGATTATCATTTCATGTGCTTTCCAGTCCTTGTGAAACCTGCTGAACTAGACCAAGGTCATATTTAAGGGGAGGAGAAGCAAAAGCTACTTAAGGATAAAATACATGCCACTGATCCACCACGCAGGGGAGGAGGATTGGAAGGCCCAGTCCAGAACAGTTCCACCACAGCTGTCTGATGGTACCACCACTCTGCTGGCTCAAAGCTCCCCCGTTCTACCCACCAAAAGTGTGGGTGAGTGGCAATATTGATGACAGGAACTTGGAAGCCCTGAAATGGAACATGGTGTACTGTCAAAATTTGATGGCGTAAGGCCTGAGCACTATGGCAGTTGAAGGAACAAGGAATGGGACTAGGGATGTGGATATGCCAATCCTTCATGTCCTGTCCTGCCAGGCTTTGAATTGCTCTGCTAATTTGTAGTGCACACATCAGATAAACGTCTGGCGTTCTGCATGATGGTGCAAGGAGAATATTGGCATTTATCTCATCTTGAGGACATTGGAGTACAGTGTGTGCTAGTGGCAGATAAAGGTGTGTTTCCTCATGCATCTGCCTTGAGTATTATTGAGTACAGTCATACCTCGGTTGAAGTAGCTTCAGGTTAAGCATTTTCAGGTTGCGCTCCGTGCGACCCGGAAGTAATGGAGCGCATTACTTCCGGGTTTCGCCGCTCACGCATATGCTCAAAATGACATCACGCGCACGCGCAGAAGCGGCAAAACACGACCTGCACAGTCGCGTGTTACATTCTACTCAGGATGTAAACGGGGCTCCGGAACGGATTCCGTTCACATCCAGATGTACCACTGTACATGTACTGTACCTGCTCATATGCAACATGTTAGTTAAAAGGCCTGCATAATTCACTGCAGTATATCATGAGTGACCTCCATGTGACCTGCACGTCACACAGAGCCTAATACCACTTCCTGGAAGGTTAGAAAAATGAACAAAGTAGAATTTACACTTTTCACAACCCTTAAGAATTTAAAGCATTTGCTTTAGATGCCTTTCACCCAATAACTTTATGTTGGCTCCTTGGAACTGGAGGCATAGAGTATTCTCTAGGGGATGGAACAGCTGGGCATGTTTCAACACAACAGCTTGCCAGGTCTCAGCTGGCAGACGAACCCAACTGACTATCCAGAAGCTACATATGTTGGGAAGCTGAATTTTTGCAAGCTCAACCGTCTCCTAAACTGGGCTGACCTGCACCTTGCCTTTGGGTGAGGCGATAAAGAGCGGCTTCTAGAACAGGGTTCCCCCAAATTTGGGTCTCCAGCCGTTTTTGGACTACAGTTCCCATCATCCCTGACCACTAGCTAGGGATGATGGGAGTTGTAGTCCAAAAACAGCTGGAGACCCAAGTTTGGGAAACCCTGTTCTAGACTATTCAGCACACCAAGGCTGACATCTAGGTCAGTTTCATTACAGTTGGCACGGTCACCTGAAAGCACCCTGAAGCCTTTGCGAACGCAGGACTCTCCAAATGTTTTGGACTACAACTCCCATCAGCCCCAGTCAGTTGTAAAAAGGTAAAGGACCCCTGACCATTAGGTCCAGTCGTGACCGACTCTGGGGTTGCAGCACTCATCTCGCTTTATTGGCTGAGGGAGCTGGCGTAAGGCTTCCGGGTCATGTGGCTAGCATGACTAAGCTGCTTCTGGCGAACCAGAGCAGTGCACGGAAACACTGTTTACCTTCCCGCCAGAGTGGTACCTATTCATCTACTTGCACTTTGAAGTGCTTTCGAACTGCTAGGTTGGCAGGAGCAGGGACCGAGCAACGGGGGCTCACCCTGTCGCGGAGATTCGAACCGCCGACCTTCTGATTGGCAAGTCCTAGGCTCTGTGGTTTAACCCACAGCGTTGTAGTCCACACTAAACAATCAAGTTCTTACAAATGTGGGGTGGGTATTATGTGGCACCTGTAGTAGTGCAAGTTCTGCAAATCTTAAGAGATTGGCATGCCTAGGGTAAATCAATTTTGTAGGTAAACAGGTCCCAAATTGTTAAGGCCTTATATACTGATAGTAACACCTTGAACTTGGCCCAGGAACAAATTCGCAACCAGTGCAAACTCTGACCACATGTGTTAAATGCTGACTCCCTCCTATCAGCAATTGTGCTGCAGCATTCTGCAATAACTGCAGCTTCCAGATCAAGAGCGAGGGATGCCCCATGCAGAGTCCATTGCAGTAATCCAGCCCTGAAGCAACCAATGCATGTGCTACTGTTGAACCAGTCACAGTTGGTCAAAGGCACTTCTAGCCACTGAGGCTACCTGAACCTCCAGTGACAGAAGAAACCCCCCCCCCAAACTGCAAACTTGTTCCTTCAGGGGGAGTGCAACCCCATCCAAGCTAGGCAAAGGACCAATTTCTCAGACACAGCAGCTACTCACCCACAGTGCCTCCTTCTTGCCAGGACTGAAGCTCAGCTTGTTTTTCTCCTCCATTTCCCCCCTGCGTCCAGGCAATGGCCCAGCGATTGTACAGCCTCTCCCGATTCAGATGTTATGGAGAAATCAAGCTGAGTGTCATCGGTATACTGACAGCACCTCGCCCCAAAACTCCTAATGATTGCTCCCAAAGGTTTCATGTCGAGATTAAATAGCACTGGAGAGAAAGCACTACTCTCTGGACTCGGTCCTGAAGGTAGGATTGGAACCACCATAATACAAGGCCCTCAGTTCCCCACAGCTGGTCCAGGAGGATGCCATGGTCAATGGTACCAAACGCCGCCGAGAGGTCAAGAAGCGGGAGCAAGGTTGCACTCCTTCTGTCCTGCTCTCATCCATCAGGGTGACTCAGTTCCATGGACAGGCCTGAACCCTGGAATGGATCTAAATAATCTGTGACCTCCAAGAACACCTGTAGCTGCCCCACCACGCTCCTCTCCACTGCCTTCCCCAAACAGGGGGTATTGACAACTGGCCAATAGTTGTCCTGATTCAAAGGGTCCAGAGCCGATTTCTTTAGAAGTGGACGTACCACTGCCTCTTTCAATGTAGCAGGGACCACCCCCTCACACAGTGAAGTGTTAGCCAAACTCTGTACCCAACCATATGGTAACAACTTTTGCTGACTGCAAGGTATAAGCAAGCTTTTAGGCATAACACAGTACAACTAAGTCAAAACTTAAGAACACGTGGAATTGCCTTCAATCCAACATAGGCTTCCCCAACCTGGTGCCCTCCAGATGTTTTGGACTTCCATCAACCCTGACCATTGGTCATGCTGGCTGGGGCTGGTAGGAGTTGAGTTTTGCTTAAATTGCAGGTTTCTGCAACAATTCTCAGTTACCTTACTGCTAAGATAATACAGTGGTAGCTTGGTTTAAGAACAGCTTAGTTTATGAACAACTTGGATTAAGAACGCTGCAAACCCGGAAGTAGGTGTTTTGGTTTGTGAACTTTGCCTTGGAAGCAGAACATCTTCCGCTTCCTGTTGAGTGTAAATTAAGTCCCCCGCTGTTATGGGAAAGCACGCCTTGGTTTAAGAATGCTTTGGTTTAAGAACAGACTTCCAGAACGGATTAAGTTTGTAAACCAAGGTACCACTCTACTACTATCGTATTTCACAAATGCCTCAATGTTTGCTCTTACAAAAAACCCAATAAAATTTCCCCATTCTATTCCTCCAATAAACCGGATAGTTTTAGATGAATCAAGGCTGTATCATGACAACGGCGGGGCTACTCCACAATTCCAGTATAAATTTATTTCCGAGACAAGCTGTCCACACTGACTGTATGAGGCCAGATGTTCTCTGTAACACGACATTGGTTATGACACGAAGGGAAATTGACGTTCTCATTCCAAGTGGCCCGCTGAAACAATCTCTCCGGTTTTTGTTTGAAATCAACTGCATTTGCAAGGCAGCGTCATCACCAAGTAACACACGTGGCCGAGCAAAGCTAGAAGAATAGTTAGTACAGGACGACCTGCGATCTAATCAAACCATGCACATTGTTCTAAAATAAAAGTCCAGAAGCACTGTGTCCCCTGTTAATTAAGTTCCTCGGGCATGACAAACCACCCTCCTAAGTCCCTGGAAAAATAATTTAAAAATAAAATGAAAAAATGGGAGGTGGCGGAGGAAGGGAAGTGGTGGTTGAAGACAGATATCCATCAGACGAGGCCGCATTTTCTCTGCTCTCGCCACAAGTATGACACATACTTTTCAAAGCAGCATTGTTACAGCTTCTGCCTTCGCTCGCACCAAAAAGCAGGCCCACCCAGGAAAGTTTGCGCGCTTTCCAAGCCAGCGAAAACTTAAAACCTTTGGGGCGAATCTGCAACCTTTCAAAACAGCCTCACGAGGCAACACTTGCTAAGCTGGGGGTGGGGTGGGGCAAAAGGGGGGGGGAAAAGTTAAAAAACGGACAGCATTTCAAACTCCCACCCCAAAATGAAAAATGCAAACACAAGCAAAATCCCATTTGTTAGGAAACTCCCAAGAAGTAGGAGTTCCTCTTGCAAACTCCTACCCTTCCCCTCTTGATTCCTGGCCATTTTGAAGAAAGGAAGGGGAGAAAAAAGAGAGGGAATGTTGTTGCTGTTGCTGTTGCTGTCGCTGCTGCTGTTGTCGCCTGACCCCCCCTCGCAGCAGGACTTGGGTCGCGGTGGCACAGCGACAATGAGGCGCGCGCTCCTGGGCGCGCAAGGCGAGGCGAGGCAGCCGGGTCTCCTTCCCTGCGCGCGCCCACCCAGCGCAGGAAACGCCAAGGGTCTCTCTCCCTCCTCACCCCACACTTCGCCCCCCGGACTTACTTGGCAAGCCGAGCCCCCCTTCTCCGTGCAGGGTGCTTTCGGTGGGGTGGGGGGGGGAGGAAGCTACCAGCCCGAGCTTGGCGTCGGCGCTTGGAGAGGACCCCAACTCGCTCCAAGGAGACCCGAAAGGGAGGCGAGCCCTCCAGGTACTCGCGGCCACATTAGCCTGACAACATGTTGGTATTAGTCATTCATAGAGGGAGGGGAGGAAGGCGGAGAGGGAGGGAGTGGGGGTGGGGGGTGGAGGCACCTCCGCGGTGCATTCTGGGAGCTGTAGTTCGGCCTCGCTTCCTGCCCCCGGCCCCGCGGAGGCCAAGGGCGGAGGGAAGGAGAGGCGACTACATCTCCCAAAGTGCGCAGCGGGAAGCGCACGTGCCTTGCCTGTCTTGGACTGAATGGGGAGGGGTGCTTTGATAGATAGATAGATAGATAGATAGATAGATAGATAGATAGATAGATAGATAGATAGATAGATAGATGTGCCTCTGTTTCCCCTGTCGAACAAATAAATAAGTACAGGAACCAAGAGGCCAAAACTTTTTTAAAAGAATGGCCACTGTAAGCAGATGAAAACATTGGCAGGATTTTAATCTCGCTTGCCACGTAACAAACACTATGGATAATATACCAAATATAGATTATGGGATAATGCACAGTTGTAAATGTTGGCAATAGGACCCGTGGAGGGGATGGGGGGAGTTTTGAGATACAGAGGCACCTCTATGCGTACGGATGTGCATTTGGATTGTTATAAATTTATATTTGTGAAATCAAATAAAAATGATTTCAGAAAATGAATGAATGAATAAATAAATTTATATTTGTAAAATCAAATTGTTGTTGTTTAGTTGTTTAGTCGTGTCCGACTCTTTGTGACCCCATGGACCAGAGCACACCAGGCACTCCTGTCTTCCATTGCCTCTTGCAGTTTGGTCAAACTCAGGCTGGTAGCAATGATTAAAAATTAAAAATAAAAATAAGTAGAGGGGTAAGGGGTAAGTAAGGATGATGATAAACTCAGCTGGGAGCTTCCGCAACTGGTTGTGCAAAGTCAGCGGCGTAGCGTGGGTTATCAGCACCCGGGGCAAGGCAAGTAATTTGCGCCCCCAAACCCGGGGCAAGGCAAGTAATTTGCGCCCCTTAACCCCTAACCATGGTCATTAATACTGACGGCTCTACTCTGGTGACTACTGCCCTCCGTGGTGTTGTTTTTGCAATTAAAGGACCCCTGCCTCAAATAAAGCATCTTGGGGATTGGGGACTGGGATTTGCCAAGGGAGCTGGAAATTGCAGTTCAGTGGCGGGTTGGGGGAGAGGGTCCCTTCCGCGTCTGGGTGCCGCGGGCCCCTTTGCGCCAAGACGCGCATCTTTGGGCGTCGCGGCGCAGCCTTCTCAGTCTCCCTCCCCGGCCCGGCTAGTCCCGACGCGGCTTCTTTCTGGCGCGGGGAGGGGGCTTCTTTCTGGCGCGGGGAGGGGGCGGCTCTGGGGCCAGTGCGTCGGCCGGCCTCCGGCGCGGGTGAGGGGGGGCCGTCGGGGCGGGTGGGCGGTCTTGGCGCGCAGGCACTAGAGCGCCGCCGATGGTGCGTTTGGCGGGCTGCGCGCGTCCAGACAGCGACCCGAGCCTGGGCGGCGTGGCGCTTGGTGCCGGAGCCTCCGCCCGAATCGCCCCGTCGGGAGACCCGGCCGGAAGGAGCCTCGAGCCGGCTGTCGGACGCGGTTGAAGCAGCCAGGGCGGCATGGCAGGCGGCGTGCACCCCCTGCACCCCCCACGCTACGCCACTGCTCTCTGCCCCACCGCCAGGCTTCGGAGCAGCCTTCCGAAGGCTGGCGGCGGGAGGAGGTCTCTCCGCCTGGACAGTGGGGTTCCTGCTTCCTCAAGGAGGGCCGGCCAAACGCGCCCCCCCAAATGTTGCGCCCGGTGCGGCTGGCACCCCTGGCACCCCCCACGCTACGCCACTGTGCAAAGTTGCCCCAGAACTGCAGCGTTCGAGTGTTGGATTTTTCCATCTTTCCCAATTGCAACAAAAATGAGGGGTGCCAGAAAGTTGTAACGTGGCTTGGGCACTTGAAAGGTGCTTCGGTTAAATTAATGGGACTTAGTTTTGCTTGGGAAGTAAAATGTGTGTAAGACTGCATAGAAATTAAAAAATGATTGCCAAGTACTTGCAGTTATTATTGTTATTGTTATTGTTATTTAGCATTTCCTGACATTTTCAGAAGGTAAAATTAAAATACGTTGGCTTTCTGAAAGCAGTTTATTTGCTTCTTCATCAAACGTAAACTTACAAAACTAAAAGTTGTCCCGTCACTAATAGCAGTAAGAATAATTCCACTATTTGTACCCCGCCCATCTAACTGGGTTGCCCCCTCTGGGCAGCTTCCAACATTTACAAAAACATAATAAAACTTTAAAAACTTTAAATTTTAAACATTAAAAAAATAGCAGGTTTGATTTCCTCACACCCGAAAACGTATTTTAAACACCCCTCGCTGAAGAAACTTGCAGAAATTGTACCCCCCCACACCCTACAAACCTGTTCCAGTCTGATCCTTTGCGTCCTGTAATTCCAGCAGAGCTTGCTCCTGAGTAAGCGCAGGTTGGATTGAGGCTTTCGATCAGCAGACAGCAAGATGGCAAGAGAGGGAAAGTTGCAGGGCGAGGGGTGTTTGTGTTTTAAGGCTTCAGCCTTTAAATAGGTATGGTTTTGAAGGCTACCTGTCAGAATGGCAGCAACATTGGTCCACGATGAACCTCAGGAGGGAAGTCATTCCATAGGCGTAGGGCCACCACAGAGAAGGCCCTTCTCACACTCCACCCCGGACCTCACTCAGTGTTGAGACTATAAGCAGGGTGTCCTTTGCTGATCTCAGTATTTCCTCAGGTTGATACAGTACAAGGGCATTCTTTCAAATATTTGGACCCTAAATCATTTGGAGCTTTCTGTGTCACCTGAAGCACCTTGAATAAGACTTGAAAGGCAAGTGGCAACTAGTACAATTCTTTCAAAACTGATGTTACAGGAGATCAGCCTGTGGGGCTTGTTAACACCTTGGCTGTTGTACCAGTTGTCATTTCCAAACTCTTTTCAGGGGTAGCCCCATGTAGAGTACATTAAAAAGGTAAAGGTACCCCTGCCCGTACGGGCCAGTCTTGACAGACTCTAGGGTTGTGCGCTCATCTCACTCTAGAGGCAGCGCTGTCTGCAGACACTTCCGGGTCACGTGGCCAGCGTGACAAGCTGCATCTGGCGAGCCAGCGCAGCACATGGAACGCCGTTTACCTTCCCGCTGGTAAGCGGTCCCTATTTATCTACTTGCACCTGGGGGTGCTTTCGAACTGCTAGGTTGGCAGGTGCTGGGACCGAACGACGGGAGCGCACCCCGCCGCGGGGATTCGAAGCGCCGACCATGCGATCGGCAAGTCCTAGGCGCTGAGGTTTTACCCACAGTGCCACCCGCGTCTGTAGAGTACATTATTATAGTCCAATCTGGAAGTTACCAAAATGTGAGTACAGTATCCAGGAACAGCTGTAGTTGATGAGCTACAACTACTGACCATTGAGCCTTCATCAGCAACGTTGGTAAACTGTAAAGAACCCTTGGATGGTGAAGTCCAGTCAAAGGCAAGTATGGGGTGTGGCGCTCATTTCACTTTCAGGCTGAGGGAGCCGGCATTTGTCCCCAGACAGCTTTCCGGGTCATGTGGCCAGCATGACTAAACCGCTTCTGGCACAACAGAACACTGTGATGGAAACCAGGGCGCATGAAAACGCAGTTTACCTTCCCGCCGCAGCGGTACCTATTTATCTACTTGCACTGGCGTGCTTCCGAACTGCTAGGTTGGCAGGAGCTGGGACAGAGCAACGGGAGCTCACTCTGTCGTGGAGATTCAAACCGCTGACCTTCTGATCAGCAAGCCCAAGAGGCTCAGTCCAGGAAGATCTTGATAGGTGACATCTCCCTGCGTGGAAGATGCACACCCCCTTCCTCTCTGCATACCAGCAGGAGAAAGAAGAAAGTCTGGGCTGAAGAGATTGGTATTTTTAGCTTTGAAATATCACAATTCTAGGCTGAGCTTTTAAGGCTTCTGTGCCGTCCAGCAAGGCCAAAATTGTCCGTTTTTTTGAAATTCCAGTTGGTCATTAATGCAGGACATACTCTTTTTAATGCTATCTTCTGGATAGCATCACAGTCAGTTGGAGAGTGGGGAGCTTTTGGGGTATACAAAACTTTGCATGCTGTTTTCTGCCTTGTTATATTTTTATGAAAGTGCGGGTTATAAATACTTTGAAAAATAAATAAGAGGGAAGAGATTTTTCCCAGGGTTCTGCTAGTAGTAACACGGAGAGGCCGAGCTGCCCAAAATGCAATTAAAGAGTCTCTAATTGTTTAGTGGATTAATTTCAGCTTTTCCATAGCTGAAACAGCACATCTGTTTTCTCCTTTCCAGGTGTGACGCAGACCGTTATGATTTTACATTTAAAACTTTAATAACCTGAAATTTGGCATCCAGTAGCAGGAAAAACCCATCACAGGAGAGACACAAAACCCAAACAGAAACTATATTTACTTATTTCCATTTTATAGACAGGCACGCTGGTACAGGCTGGTTTTGAGAGGCAAATGGTTTATCTTAAATGGGTCACTAGAGGGAGCTTACATCTCCTTTTTAGTGATACACAGACATAGCATACCTGAATACATTTAATCCTGTGGGCTAACAGCCTAAAATTCTTCCATATATCATTATTATCTTCACCAAGGCCTCCAGAGAACAATATGATCCTTAGCAACGTACACGGCAGGTAGATAATACAACATTGTGCCCAGCCTTCCCCATTCTGCAAGCCTAAAAAAATAATGGTTTGTCTGACATCAGATTCCCCCTACCCCCAGTATGGAATCATGGATTTGTTAATGTGTGTTTTGAGGGACGCAACACCTACTTCAATTCTAAGCAATGTGTCTGGTATACTACATAGGACTCCCAAGTAGGAAAATTTGTTTTGGATTAGATCCAGTTCATCTCTACTAGAGCTACCCCAGATTGCTGCATCACAAATTTCTGTAATAATAGAGCGCCATTTGCATGCTAATTGGAATATTATAATATTTCCCAGGGAGAACCCAACAAGTATCGGATCCAGTGGCCCCTTTCCCCAACAGGCTTTAAATGTACAATAATCTGCATTTTTTCCATCGCACCACTGGTAGTACTAAAACAAAA